TCCATCGCCCTTGACCATACCGCATCAGATACGCAGGACTGAACTGGGTTCACAAGCGGTCAGCCAGAAGTTTCAAAAATGCGCAAAAACGCTTTACTGTAGAGTTCAAGCAAAACCACCTTTACGTTAAGTTTTTTTTAGAAATACAAATGAAACTGTGCGGTGACGAAAGCCCTACTGCTCTTAATTTCGTCGCCCAAGTAAACCTTGCAGAGTCTCACAGAACGCAATCTGGGAGTTTTTGCAGAACGTCCGTGAGAAGCCGACAAAAATGAAATAGCTACTGGAGTAATAACTACATATAAGTGTTGCCCTGTTTCGGCATTCCCACAAAAAACTGGCAGTTGTTGAGAGGGTGAACTACACGGAGTGCAAGCAGCCGTCTGCACATGGGTGAAAAGGCAGGTGCGCGAGGCACAACAGCCGGTGATGCAGCGATCTAGCATATTGCGCCCGGATGTGAAGACGACTGGTTAGATTCCCTCCTGACCCACAACCATTTTTAAAAAGAAGCTCCATCCGCGAGACCCTGCAAGTAAGAAGTGACAAAACTTAATGACGAAATGGCCTAGCATAGCATTGGCAATACACTCTAAAAACTAAAGACTCAAGTTCGGATCCTTTTTGGGCTAGTTCGTTGTAAAACATGTAAGTCAAAAGAAAACTATTACTGCAACATACATATATGCATACACATATAACATGTATATATGGATAACCTCTTAACAGTATGTTTTTGCGCTTATGATGCAAAAACGCATAAAAACGAATGTGCTGCTCCCCCCAGCTCAGAAAGTTATTGTTAGTTCAGAAAATGACACTAGCGGATGTGGCCTGAATTTTGAACTATCTGCACAGTTTTGACGAAAAGTTAAACCCAAGGACAACGGCCGGAGTACAGAAGGATCCTGAAGAAAATAAAATTCACCAATACCTGTACGAACACAGTCAAGTGGATATACGGCTTGACCAATGAATGGATCTGTTTTCGGCCCAACAAAATCACCATCCTCGACATAGAAACGAAGCAACGCTATTTCTGGACAATGGATTTTAAAGATAAACATCTCATTCCAGACCGGATTCAGTCCATTTGAAGCTAAATTCGTATTTATATTGTTTTTTCTCCTTGAGCTTTTTAAGAAATGAGACAATTTTCAAGAGATTTCTGCAAAACCGTAAGGCTCCCAACCCGAAAAAGTTTTCCAAACACAGTCGTACTATAGCCCTGTTTCTTAAAAAAAATTGTTAGTTGAGATAAAACACTGAAGGAGATAAACATCTCGAGGGCTACGAAGAACTACAGATATTGGCGGAAGGCGAAAATCTCGAAAACTAC